TTCACTTGGATAGGTTGCAAAATTAGCACGTGAAATACACAACAACTTGTCACTGGGCTGATCAGCAGATTTGGATTTCACGATAAAGTTTAAAAAAAAAAAGCTTGGCTCTGATTTCAAGTAGAAGAGGACAGAAAACGGAATTATGGTAAGTTATCCATAAATTCGCCCCGAGGGTTAAAAAGTGGTTCAAGCAGCAGTTATCAAGAGGGAATAGTTTAAATATCAAATCTAGAATGCTGAGTTTTATAAACCGTAAATTGTAATTCTTTTATGATGTGTACCTTCATCTTATGCTATTTATATAATTTTGATCCATCGCAACAGAGTTTTGTTCTGGAACTTACAGATTGGAATTCAGTGTATGTAAACTATGATGAAATGACATTGAAATTGTCGGATGACTGTTGACTAATTTTTGCAAATCCTGTACATAATGACATTTTTTCAAAGTTGAAGACTCAGAAAAACCTTTTTATCGGCTATTTTCGGTTTTTGACCTTTACCTTCTACATGTATGTAACATGAAACCAGCCAATGCGACCTACAAAATCATTTTATCATAGAACTAAAACGATCGAATCTAGTATTTTTTTCGATGATGCATTTTACAGTTTATGCAACCCAAAGAAGGACGAAACACACACACACACACCAGGCAATCTAATGCAATATCTGCTCCATATATTGAGCCTGTGTATTTACGCAAATTCTGGAATGCAGTGGATCCTATGTTTTGTCACTCTGTGGTTATCATGTGGGTCTCTCAGGTTTGTTTTGAAGGAAACGACTCTTGGATGATCCACGAATGGTTTGTGTACTTAAAAAAACAATTTTCCACTTGAACGACTGCGGGAAATTCAGTCCTAGGAATGCAAAACTGTGACGGAAAGCTGAGATGCACTTGAAGATTAAAGATCGCGGGAACAAACTTAAGAATCTCGAGTACTTCTATTTTTTTAATCTATAAAAACAACAACTGACAATAAAGCACTGACCCACGTTTGGATCGAACCTTATCTGTTGTATAACCAAGCACTTGATATTGGTGCGATATTTGCCCAAATACTTCAGATTATTGATTGTTATCAGGTACTTCTTTTTAATTACTTGTCGAACTTGTACTACACGTTCGAAAATAGCAGCTCTTACGAATATTACAACGCACAGAGTTTGAGAAATACTGCGTCAATGCGATGCTTTCATTCCCTATTTTGGCAAGATTGGAACACTTTATTCGCTACATATAGAGCCCATTCGATTTGTCCTCCGCGATACAAGTTCAAGTTCCATTACACTGTATTTCCGTGTCCATGGTTACGTTGTAAACATTGAGTGATTTATCCCTGGCACAACAAAAACCATTATCGTTACTTACTGTGGGAGTAAAGTAAAAGAAGTACGAGTGTATGAGTGCAAACAATGGTGGCCAAATTTAGAATAGAAAGGGGAAAATTTTTTTGCAAACGTTTCATTGAGGCTATCCAAAGACGTCAGAGATTGGAAGGAAAGGGACCGTTCGTCAGTGCGTCGCACATTATTGTGTCTTCACGCCATTGTCGCTTCCCACAATTACAGAACTTCTGCTGACTGTTCAAAGATTTTTAGTATAAATCTATATATAATAAATATATAATATAATATAATAATAAATAAATAATAATAATAAATATACAATAATAATAAATATATAATATAATATAATAATATAATAAAGAAGAGTATAAATCAAGATGCCTATGTATTTGCTAGAGAGGTTACAGACAAACCCTCACTTTCAGGATACACCTTGACAAATTTCGTCACCGGAGATAAAAAACAACTCAACTGAGAGAGTGTTTCGTCGCAAAGCTGAATAGTCACGTGATAATTTCCCACAAAACGAAGGCAGCATCAGCAACAAGAATGTAGCGATACAAAAGATTTAATGAGCAGAAAAATAGCTCAGCGCGAGCTTTTCACCCTGTTTCGTACATTTCTTGGCCGTTCTATTAAAAAACAATAGGGAACTTAAGAAAAACCACGACGGCAAAGGCAACAGGAACGCCACTAAACAAATGGTTTAATGGAGAGAACAATGGCTGTGCACGCGGGTCATAAATCTTTGTAAATTTTTTTGGCGTATTCTGCAAACATGAAAGCAATAACGTGAAATGACCAACCTTTCCGTTGTCTGGGGAACGTGAACGGCGACGGCTAATTTTTTAAATTTCTATCTAAAATTTAACGCTGTGTTCCATATTCAGGGTATCGCAAGATTCGTGGACAAAATGGAAGTTCGTGTTTTAACCGACGTTGTCCATGGCGTTACCGTGGTCGTTTCTTAAACTCCCTAATAACGTGAAATCAAAAAAGTCTGCGAACTCTGATAATAGAAGCCTGAATGAAAATTCTGTCTTTGCTGCATTTCCACGTTAGGCTGATGGAATGGCCGATACGGTATGCCATATGATATGGCTGATACGGTAACTACCTCGAGCCTCTTGCGAAATTATTGAGGGAAATGGAAGATCTTCGTGACATCTTGCACTGCCTCTTGTTACGTTCTCTACACGACATAAACTAGTTATTATCATGGTTATTGTTCCTCCAAGTCTCCTTCTGCATAATTTAGCCTATGAAAATGATTAGAGAGCAATTTCACATCAATGCGAAGAAAATCGTGCTGAATTTCACCTCCGATCGGTAATGACGTGTTGTGTCTTTCTAAACAATGAGATGTAAAACTAAATCAAGCACGGATTTTTCACTCTCGTTTTCTGCTCCTTGGGCAGTTTGTTTCTACTTAAGTTTGAGTTCTCGTTAGCTTATAATGATCTTTTCTTTCGTTCTGTGAGGTCGTTGTGATAACTTCGGTTTTATATAAGGATCAGCCAAGTCATTACGACTATTAAGAATTTTACCTCACACGGTGTTCTAACGTCATTTACCTCCGTTTCCCAACGAGTCATTAACTGAGGATGTTCACGATGACGAAGCCTGCGACAAAGTCGACTGAAAATAAAATTACTCTCTACCTTGAAATTTCAAGAACACTACAATTTGTTTTCAAGAGACTTTTTGCTACAGTTGCCCCGTCATCTTCAGTTTAAATAAACGTAAAGCACATAGTTTAATTTAAAACATTATACAGAACAGATGCTAATTGGTACAACCACAAAAAGAAAACGCGTGGCAATAAATGGTTACAAAGCGGAAAGTCTTAAATTAGCATGATACAGTTCATACGGATTCAATGTAGGTTTGCTACCATTGAATATCTAAAGCTAGATTCTTTGGTAACCGTCTTGAAATTGTTTCTTTCAAGTTGATAGATGATTTCCGAGTGTCCTATGTCAATGAAACCAACGTATCATTTACGCCATCGATTCTCGGGAATATGACGAAATTTAATGAGACACGTATTTCATAACTAGCTAATACTTCAGCGCGTGATTCAGAACATGACTTAAAAATGACATATATTTAAAAAAATCAAGTACCAATTTTAGTCAACTCTGGCGATAGTCACCAGAGCAAACTAGCCAGTTTGTTTTATTAACTATGCTCTGACGAGGTATTCTATCTTAGGATTTTCTCCATATCACTGGTAATTTACATCAGTATTATCAGAATTACAACCCTTCTAATTTGCCAAACGCATTGCAAAAAATCAGTCATTTCGTGAAGTATGAAAAAAGTCTCGAAAATTTTTGGTTCTGAGCAATGGACGATACGCGTCATTTTCGGGTCCTCTGCTATAAAAGACAACTAGGTTCATTACCTGGTGGTCAAAAAAAAAATTGAATACGTTTCACTGATGGAAATTTTGTTTCTCAAATGTCGTCATACCTTTGATTAAGAAGTGGCAGGCCTTTCTGTGGTCCAAATTTGACTGTCGTCATATATACTCGTGTTTAACATATTGAGTCATCGCTTCACGGTAGTCCCTTTTTTGTTTACCTCTTGCTATGATTTCAGAACAAATTGGACCCCACTCGGTCCAATTATAGTCGTCCTTTACGATGATATTGCGGAATAGGAGACCCTGGTTTCCTTCTATCAACTGCCACTACTTATTGAACACCTTGTCGCGTCGACACATCAAATATATATAACTATGAATAAACTTAGCATTTATTACTTGTCATTGCTACGATCATATCCTAACTGCGTGATGGCGTTGTGCCACTCTAGATATTGCAGTCGTTCCGTGCAGTAAGTCACAAAATTTTGCGTTACTTTGTTCCTCTCAGTTCCATGGCGTTACAATATCTTGACATTAAGTTTTCGTTGCGTTACAAAATAACGGTGCTTTGCAGTTTTTTGCAACCACAGTGATATTTTCAGAGTGTATTTCTTAATCATGATGCAAGTTTTTCGTTTGATAATTTTTAGGTCTACTCTTCCAAACAGTGCAGCCAATTTATTGGAAAAGATTGTTGAAAACTGCATAATTTAGCAAACACGTGTTTCGTAAAGTTTCAATTCGCTTTTTGAGTTTTGGTACGTCCTGAAGGGATGAAAACAATATTTAAGTCTAAATAAAGGTATCCTTTAAAAGTAAAAGTACTTACTCGTCCCTACCCTCTGTTTCAAGCCGAAAACATTTCCACATGCTGAGTTAACTCTCGCACATCGCTGCAGTCTTTTGCAGCCATCTTGAATTTATGATGTGTGTGAGAAGCCTGGAACTAATGAATGGGAATGGGGGGGAGACATAGCAGGGACGACGCAGGCGGGGTGGAGGGTGGGGAACGAATCTATCTATTTCTTCCAAATCCAATTAATGTATACAGAGTAAATGATGGAGACGCTGTTGGGCAAATAAAATAAGAACATCAAGAACGTTAAATCAAGTAATATCAATTTTGAGGTATTTCTATACATTTTATAATGGGCACTCCATAGCATCTCGTTTCATGAAAAACTAGCTGTGAAACGTAACGGAGGGCGCAAACAGTTTCGATATGAAGCTCTCATAGATGTCTCTTACCCACCCCCTAGATACACACTTTGTTATTTTCATTCAGCTCCAATATTCAACAATCTAGAAAATCGGAAAAAATGACTAGACTACTAAAAAGGATAAGAGCAATTTTTTTTTTTACAAAAACTGAAACAAGATGTGAGGGTGGCTCCCCATGTATCAGGTCTACTTCTGAGTAAAGTTCGACGCCAAATCTTGATCGAGATCTAAGGTTTATAGACATTTCTACAAAAGTCTATCGTTTCGTAACATATGCCTTGCCATAGTAAAAGTAGATAAATCTAAGATAGTGGTTTCGTAACATGCACACATTTGCTTCTATGATTTAACTTTCCTTTGACCCTTTGACTCCCAGTAGTGATCAACATCTAACTTCTCCCTATAATATCTATAGATTATCCCGCAAACAGGTAATGAAAATACTCAAAATTAACGGTTAGAGGTCGCTATGCTGATCCAACACGAAAATCTCCTAAGTAATTTACAAGCAAAATCTGTGGCACTTAGAGGATCTTGCAGATCTTGGCAATTTCAGGGTTGAGTTAAAACAGTTTCAAAAGCCCTTCTTAAAATACTTAGAAACCGGCACTGTTTTTCACAGTCAGTGGACACACCTGTGTTTAAACATTAAATGTTAATTTTTTCTAAAGTAAGTTCTTTCATTTTACATTTTTCGATTGGCGACCCTTTCAAATCACGGTCTTGGCTTTTCAGTAAATATTCAATTTAGAGGAAATGAGCGCTTTTAATTGTCCACCAGAATCCCCTCGCGACGTTTTGGCTACCCAGATTCAACGAGTTTGTACAAGTACTATCCCTGTCTTATCTCAATGTCAGTCGTAATACATCTGTCACTGTTAAGTATCGGCGCCTGATTTCATCTTTGTATCTTCCCGCGCCCACCACTCCACCCACCAGACTCGTCCCAGCATAACGTTTCTCTTTCGGCCAGGATGCGCCGCGCTGGCCGGGGTCGAGCGATAGGACGGTAACGCTTCAAAATTCTTTGGGAAAGGCGTCTCATGACGTACTTCTTTCACATAAAAGCTTGAAAACGGCCACCGAAGGTCCTGTGCTTTGTTTTCGTCCAAATTTGAGGCCAGGTTATCTTCTCGGTGGCTTTCCGTCGGAGGATTTCTGGTATCTTCCGATTGATTAACGATTGGGTCTTGTATGGAACCGATCTTACCTTCATCGGGCATGAAACATTTATAAACGGTACGATATTCGTTTGTGTTGGATGAATCTCCGTTTGGATGAATTATAAGCCCACCGTCCATAAGTTCTTGAATCTCAGGGTCCACATCTCGTGCCATCTCAAAGCTGCCAGCCCCACTGGAGCCATCATCGTCATTACTTTCGTCGCTGGATTCCGAAGAAGAACCGTCGCCATTCGGCGGTCGTTCGTTTCCCGTACCCTTCATGGATCCGTTGTCGGAATCGGCTAGCTCATCTGATCGTTCTCGCTTTATTTTTCTCATTGCCTTACGAACGGCATTTTTTAATGCTTTTTCCGAATTGTTGCTTCCGTGTCCGTCCGATTCGCTGTCACTTCCGTTGTCGCGTCTACAGATTTTCCTGATATGCGCCTCAAAATCAAACTCGTCTTCGGTTTCTTCTTCCGATGATTCTTCGTCAGACAAAATGGGGGACTCAGTCTCCAAGTTTTCACCTATGGAACTCCCAGAGTCGCTACTAGCCTCTTTGTACTGTTGCAAAATGGAAGCCACAACCTTCTTCAAATGAGCGCTTGTTTCAGTGTCCATCGGATCTACATGACGCTCTTCTTCCTTAGCAGCCTGTTTCCTGCTCTGAGCAAGCTTATCCTCCTTTATTTCTACCTGAATCTGCTGCATGTTCATTGAGGGATTCCTGAAACTAGCAAGGAGCCGAACGGTTTGTTCTTGTAAGGAGATGGAGTCCCACACTTCACTGTCAACGTCCAGCAACCCTACAGAGCTTGTCAAACCATTCTCGTGTGCTTCGAACGCAGAACGAGTTCCAACCGAGCTCTGTCTCGACAACTGGTGGCTCCTAGTATCGTCAGATCCTCCAGGGGAGGCTATACTGCAAGCAGAACCGATGCTCCCCCTGGGATAGGAGTTGTAAGATCCCGCGCGATTTCTTGGACTGTTTTTACCCGCTGATGATTCATTTTCATCCGAACTCACCATGTAAGCTCCTTCTTTGCCTTTGCTCCAGAAACGTTTGCGTCTAAAAATGGACATGATTGTAATCAGAGGTAAATCTTGGCATATTTCTGGTAAACAAAGTTGAGCTCAAACAGTGCAGATTGCTGCAAACAACCGCGCACGAGTACAATCTTTCTGAAAGAGAACAAACGTTCGCAATTAGTTGAATTCTCTTCACTCTCTGAGAGAACGAAAAACAATTATGCTGCTTTTAACGCAAGCTGAGCGTCAAAAAAACGTGAGAGGTTTAACTGAGAAACAGGTGTTGATAAAGCAATTACTTCATCGAATTACCATGATAACAGTACTCAAGTTCGTTTTTTTCCCGGCTTTTCTTTTCTTTTTTTCTCTCTTTAATAAAAGATACGGATAAATACGAAAACATCATTTATCACGCTGTTGATTTCAGATTTCTCGGTCTTTTGTCTTATTTCATTATTTGTTACTCTTATTTTTGTTTCTTTGCGACAACAATACATTAACCAGCCGAAAAGTTAGACTTCCTGTCGTCACAAAGTGAAACGTTCCCTAAATTGGCAAGTTTTAATTTCCTCTTTCGTTTTTTCGAGTTAAACGCGCCAAATCTCGTAGAGTCTGCAAAGGAGAGAATGTTTTTTAGGTGTTACTCTTTCAGGTAAGACTGATTACAAGATAAACGTTAGATCCGTAGCTTTAACCGCATCGACTTAAAGACGGAGAATTTTTGGTTTAGACGTCATGGTTCTATGAAGCATGTACAACTTATAATATTGGATTGATGCGCAGGAGCTAACTAAGTGAAAACTTTTGTCTGAGAATCACCCGTTTTCACACCGCTAGCAGAATCTAGAAAAATTTAAGGCCTCTTACCAAAAGAGAGGTCGAAAACTTCCGCAAAAAGCCTTAAAATCAACTGATGAGAGATGTCGGAGGCAATTAAACAATCTAAAATTACCTACACGTTATTAAAAGGAAACTAACCACAGTCACGAATTTTTAAAAGCTAGCGCTTATTATGTACATTTTTAAAAGTCCTTTGTAAAGCTAAAAGAACCGACGAAAAGCTTAACATTTAAAGCAGTATGTAAGGTAAAAGAGAAGAAATTTTGATTCAAACAAATGCACTCTCCCCCTCGAATTAATTCGACTAGGTAAAAAAAAACTTTAAAAACACGAAGGTGCAATAAAATGCAATATATATATATATATATATATGAACCATATGTATATATGTTTGTCGTTATTGAGGAGAAACCAGATTTTAATCTGGCTTTCACAAGGGACTTTTAAACTCTTTAACTCTCAAGAATGATCAAGACGGGATTTCTCCTTACAATATCAATATAATATTAAACAGACAAATCATGAGAATAGAGAAAAATTTCAACAGGTTACTTTTTGTTGATCCCAATGCCAATTCTCGGGACTAACATCATAAGAATTGTATGGCAGACAGAGAGGAGAAGTAAAGGAGAGATAGAAATGGCAAATAAATTTGAATTTGAAGTGAATTCTTGTTATGGGGGGGGGGGCGGGGATATTTTAGTAATCTTCATAGATCTTGCTGATCGCGCTTTGCATTCGAATTAATTTTCTTCCCTCTGTTATTGATACACTACGCAAACAAGCCATTAGGTTATTGCCGTAGGCATGGTTCAAAGTAATGGGTCATTAAAGTCGGATGGAGTTTTGCGCGATTGTCAACTGAGTGAGATGCATCAAAATTGCCGGCCATAATTTCATTTTAGCCGTAAGGCAGTAATTCTTCATCAACACCTAAAGGTAGCTAGGACAATATTGTGGTAGCAGATACATTAATTGGTGTCTTTGTCATCGTTATGAAAATTATTTTCGGCTTCTAGAAACATCAAAACGTTGATCATCTTTGTACCGGATAATCCATGTAACATACAACGGCTTCGGAACCGAAAGGAGTTTGACTCCAAAATGAGGACAACAAGAAAAGAACCCCATGGTTAAGTGAACAGAAAGTGAAGCTCACGTGTCGCTTGAAATCTGTCCTTTGTACGTTGCAGATAGAGTGAATCGGATATATAAAAAGAATGATCCTTGATTTGTGGATGATTGTTGACGAATCGAAACTTGTTGTTAAACAGCAATTTAAAATATTTCAGAAAGTAACCCACAGTTAAAGAATTCAGGCTTTGAACTGGCCTGTACCTGCGTCTTTTAGATACTCGTTCAGAGCTACTGCTAACTGAACCACAAAGCCTCATGTTGGGTTCGAGGCAACATGTAATTGGATTTTTTTGTTACCCGTTTTATCACACGTTAGATTTATACCATTGATTGCGTTACCAGCGACCGAGCTTTGAAGTTAAATCACAGCCATTAGGATTAGGCAAGTTATAATGCCTGGTCGAATCTTAAGTTCTTCTTTTACCATGCAGACACACCACACACACATATCGCACACACATCGCGTTCACATCGCACACACTTACACTTTGCATACGGTAAGAGCGGAGCAACGCAGAAAGAAAAGTTATCACTAATCAACACGTCTCTTACTCGTCAGACAGAATTTGTTATTTCTGGCGGGCACATAACATTGTACATTATATACAGAGCCGACAAAAGAAGACAAAAAAACACACAAAAATTATGGTTTTTCAATACAGCAAACAAACTACCAATAAGCCCGTAAACTAAGTTGGAAGCAGTTCAAGACAACATTCATTAACTGTGCAAACCACGAAACAAAAAGGATAAATGTACTTTGCACGTTGACGATACTTCATGCTCTCGTTCATTATTGGCGAATTCTTAACATAGGCTATATGTTTATTTGTACCTTTTCATTTGTTCAGATCTTTTCTCTGTGGCAGTGCTGGCCAAACTATTGAAATCAACTCTGATAGAATTTAAATTACGAAGGCTTAAATTTTAATTTTTGAAGCGACGAGCCTTAGTTAGAAATATGATCAGAAGCTTGATGCATTACACCTGTCTCAAATAGTTAGCAATTTTACACCCCCTTTCAAGATGACTGGAAGCTTTTCCGAATTTAGTCAGTTCAAACTAAATTTGTTGCATAGCCAGCCCCATTGCATAGAATTATTGATCGAACGCTCGAAAAGTAGAACTCGACCATAAATGTTCGACTATGTATGAAAATATGATACGAAATTCCATACAAAATAATTTGTAGAAATTTTACTTCGACTTTTGGTGCCTCTGGCCCTTAAGCTTGAGTTTTTTGTGAAGTTTTTTAGAACGTAATAATTTTGTTTAACTGCAGCAAAATCAGCCATGTTTTCACTAATTTAAAACATTGAGGCTTCCTGCATCGATAATACAATATATTGGAAGATGGCTTCGCACCAGAACTGCTGGCCTGTTATCATGTAAAACTTTAAAATTTGTAGAGATACTTAAAATTAGTTGTTTAAACAGCTATACTTCGAGACTCTTTTATGCACACTTACATGCAATATTGAGGCTCTGAAACACCGAACACTTCTAGTCTCTGATTTCCAGGTCAATTCCTTTTCAGCCAGCTCGGTTGCGAAATTAACAGTCGAGCGTATTCTTTTTTGAATAAAATTTGTAATGGATCTCACCTGTCACTTTATGCAAAGGCGACGTCGTTGCCATGGAAAAGACTCTAGTCCGCAGGTGTATTACTTGGTTTTGGACTCTTTCAATTATGTGAACAAAGCTCTTCTCCTTCGCTAATACTTTCCTTGACACAATATACATTATCACAAACAGAAGACAAACGTGCTTAAAAACATTTGTTATATTTACTGACTTATACAAATTAAGCTATGCAACTACTGGCTCATCTAAAACTTCCCTGCTTCCATATAGATTAAGCCAGCCGAAAAATGAAAGAAATACGAAGGCCAAGAAAATTTTTTTTTATTATTATTATTTTTTTCTGGCAAGGACTCTTTTGGCCTTCATAAAGCAAAATGAGATTTTAAAGAACAAAAACAAACCAATAAATCGAAAACAGCGTCATGTCATCATCTCCGTTATTTCCTATTTTGGAAAAGGGGAAAAATCACAGATAAATATAGAAATAAATAATTTTAAGTGCAAGCAGTAGCATTAATTTGTTTTAAATCAATGATCTACTGACGTATTTACTTTTCAGGACAATTCTAGAAACGACAAACACATTACCGAATGGTCACTAAGAATAGAGACCTGTATGTTTAGAAATCACCTATGTGTCCCGTGTTTGAAACACGTATGTTTTGAAGAATACGATTTTTAACCTTTGAAGTTGGTTTAATTCTTCCAATTTATAAATATATGTATACATCTATATATGTATGTATGTATAATTTTTTTTATTGTTTTTTTCTTTCTTCTGGTGCGAGTTTTGTCAATCAGTACCACAATTCAATTTTTTTTTTCAGTTGGTGTACCTAAAAGACTATGAGGATCTCGTCTGTGAGTACGAATCATAAATTAAGATTGCTTTGACACTTTTGATGTTTATATAAAAAGTTTGCCAATTTTGGCTGTGATATTTTTTATTTGCTTTACCTCTCGACTCATTATCAATAATCAATCTTCCACGATGCCTCTACAAACTGAATAAAACTTTCACTGCGCACTGTGACGTAGTGTTATAATAATAAAAAAAAAAACACCTACTCCCAGTGGTTTGCGTCACGTCAAAAATACCTTTCCCCACCCCCCTGAGCTTTAATAGTCATCACCGACAATCAGCCGATCGCAACTGACTGAACGCCTGAACGAAATGAACTCCAGAAGCCTTTCTCTCTTCTGAAAATAAAACCATAGCAACGACCACTAGTTTGACAAGGGAATTAAATCAGTATTGGTAAAACCAATTCAGTCATTCATTCAACGAACTATAAATCTTGTTTTTTTTTTAAGAAAACAGCTTTCCTAAGTCAGGGATGATACAACATAATTTGTCTACTTAACGTAAACAGTCCAAAATTATAAATTATTTTTATTTACAGGTATAGGGCAGTAGTCGTTTGACGATGATTCAAAATCTTTATATATAATCTTTTCTTGAAAGAATTGCTTTCTTAAAAAATATGTTTTAAAAAACAAATATCACATCATGGAGGGTTTCACGGACATACTTGCCTCCAGTTCCTTCCTTGGTTTGTTTCATCTTTCCGGTGGATCTGTTATCGAAATTGCTAAGATCACTATAGAAAATGGATGCAACGATATCAAGAGACCATAGTCTCTTGGACGATATTTGTTT